CAGTCAGAGATGTAGACCGATTGAAGGGAGTAATCACGAACTGGGCTTGTTCCTCCTGAAATTGTAGCTAACAATTTTCTTTCTCCCTTTTTTTTTAGGATTCTAGGATATTCACACATATATAGTCATGTTTTTATTCAGATTATATCGGAAAATGGATAGAGCTAATCGTGAATCAAATTATATGTACGCATGGAGATATATACAAAATATGTTGTATGTTATTTGTTATTGGTATTGAGTATTGAGTACTTGAAATCATCCAACCAATTTCATGATTCATGATATAATCCCACTGCCTAAATCTACTTTCACGCCGCCTCCATTAATTTTGTTCGTGTTTTCAGGGTGCCCTTTTCAAGGTTAAAGTTGAAAAATGGGACAACCCACCATAGAATTGTATGTGCTTGACCCAAAAGGTAGGTTGATTTTTTTTTTATTTTTAGGGATAATGACACAAACAATCCTTGAACTTTGGCTCAATGTACAATTTGGTCCCTGAATTTTTAGTACATATTCAATTTAGTCCTGAAATTATATGAAAATGTACAATATAGTTCATGAACTTGAATTAATGAAAGGATTACATTAAAATGTACTAAAAGTTCAGGGACCACATTGAACAAATTGAAAGTTCAGGGACCATATTGAACATTGAATTAAAGTTCAAGGACTACATTGAATAAATTAAAAGTTCATGGATCAAATTACGTAATGAGTCAAAGTTCATGAACTGTTTATATTATTTTCCCTATTTTTTATTTTAGGAGAAGCAAAGGCACATTCTGACCCACTTGCCATAAAGTTATTTGGCATTTTTTTGAGAAACTTTTTGCCTCCCTTCATCTTGTTTTTAACTATTGCTTTGTTTTTTCTTTTCACCCTTTTCAATTGCATTATTGTCCTTCTCAGGTGCACAACGAACTACTCTGCCTGATAATGGTTGACCCATCAAGCTACTCTATGCATAGAAATTACTTAGTGGATCATGCAGTGACAGAAAATTGTTGATTATATAAGATTTTCTTGAAGTGATTGTTGATGTCTACTCGAAACTGGATTGCTGCATCTATGTCCACAATGAAATTATGACATGACTTCTTAGTCTTCACTTCTCTGCTGCCTTAAATTATTGTTGTGAAGGCAACTAAATTAAATTTTTTGCACAACAATTTTGTAGTAAATCTTACTATCATTATAGACAAGCCTGACATTCTTGATATTAGCAAAAGCCGAAGTAGAGAGAATTCCACTTTCAGCATTAATAAGCCGAAACAAGGCTGGGGTTCAAAGGAGGAGAGTTGCGATTACGCGTTGGAAACCAGAAACCTTTGACATTGCACCAATCACGCTTGGTACGAATCCTTAGTTGAAGGATACTAATTTTAATTCCCCGACAGCCTTTTCTTGTACTTTTATCTTTTGTTTTTGTTCTTGGCTTCTTCTTCTTGTTTTTTTCTTTTTTTCTTTGCAATTGCCATATCCATCCTGTCATCTTCCTTGAATCTTCATGACATTGCCTTAGCAGGACTCGAGATCGAGTGTCAAGTTTCTTTTCTTGATCATTAGTCATCAGTTACGTAAGATAAAAAAATAAAAACAATCGAGACTATAATCCCTAGACTCTTAGAATCACATAGCCAGAAAAACGAATGGCCAAAGTTCACGTACCTTTCTTAGTGCTTAATTAAACGTTTCAATTATTTTTTTCCTCATGATTCCTCTTCTATTGACCCGTCCTGTCGCTTTTATGATTAGTCAACGAAATTCAATAATTCTTCTGATTTTACGGATTATTCTATTGCAAGTTTTGGCCACTTGTTAGTGGCCTGGAAGAGGATAATAAGTAAATGCAAGGAAATGAGAAGGTGAAATCAAGACAGGAAGCTAGTAGTTAGCAGCAAAGGCCTCGAAGGGCCAATGTCTACGAAGTCAAGGTCTGCATTCACGTGATAAGAAATTTCATAAAATTGGAAGACTTGACAGTGTCTGAAACGGAAGAATCAAATTTTGAAGTCTTTTTAAGTATTTGTTAAGGTGTCCCTACCATATTTGGCTATATTAAGGTGAATTCAACTATGAATAATCAAAGCTCTTTATATTATTACACGTTCTAGAGCTCATTTGAATATGTGGAAGTGCTACAATATATATAGTAGCTCAAGGTAGTTAAAAGGGTGCCTGGCTGTAATTAAATCATCATTTTCATTGTCAGCAAATGAAAAAATGACATAGGTTAAGAACAAAGGCTAAACTAATTATTCATACGTTGGTAATAAAATTGTGATGTTTGGTTGATAAATGAATGCTCACTTCGTAAAATTACACCATATATCTCTAAAACAAATACTTGAAGAACTCAACTTCAGTTTGTTGCAGCGCAGGGGACTCCAACTAGTTGGATAATATTAATGGTTTACTGTCTCGATGTTATACATCATATTTTTGTAGCTACACAAATTCAGCAGCTGCATATTTTTTTTTTTTACATTTGTTTACCTTGATCATTAAATTATTATCAAGAGGAAGTTTCATAGAAGGGAGCGGTAGGACTGGGAGGGAGTTGGGCTTCGAGAGGCTTAATAACTTTAATAATATTATCTCATGGAGAATTTTTATGAAGGGACCTCATTGTTTAAGAAGTCTGTCCTTGTGTGTTTGATTCCGTCATTATGTGCATCACATTTGACTATAGTCTCGCGATAGATTTGCTTTTAACAAACGCGTGAATCATTTCATTATATCAGGATTTAGTGAAAATAAATAATTTGACGAAGGAAAAGGACTACGACCTTATCCATTTTTGTTCTTTTGTTCTGTTTTTTTCCCGATTCCACCATCTCCAGTCGGACGCATAAGCAACGGTACATGCTTTCAGTCTTTCTTGTACAGCTGGACGAGGAATATAATAACCTCAACATGTCTTGCCTCAAAGCAAGCTCATTGTCATTGTCCGAATTGGGGTTGCCCTTGCTATCGCTCTTTAGATTTCCTGCAAATAGCAAAAGTATTAGTGAATGTCTCATCAAAGGCAACTATTGCTAAAATTTATGGAACAAATAAGGTTAATATCATAGAAAATCTCAAATCGGTACACTCATATTATATTTATCTCAAACTAATCATTTCACAAAAACTCTCAAATCGATACATCCGCATTATGTTAACTTATTTTTTGTGGCACAAGTTGGGATAGACGTGGCATGGATTTACCAGATTGGGATTTTTCTATTATACAAAAAGTGGCTCGTGTTGATGTGACACAGGTAGATTAGCTTGAAATTTTTCGTAACACAAAAATTAGTTAGACATAAATGTAGCACAACAATTCTATGGTGCTAGCGATACTTTTTCCGCTAGCACCTGGTAAACGACGCCATGTCATTATATGGTCGTGGAAAGAGGAAAGAAAGTAACAATTGAAACTATTAACTCCTCTTGTTATTTTTACGTCCTTCGGACCTTCGCTACCTGCATCGGGTTATTAGCTATTAAGAGAGAGAAAAAAAAAAAAGCATACATTATCGTCCTCAAGACCTAGGAAAGATTCCAATAGTCAGAACAGACAATCCCTTGTCGGCTTTGGTCCTAAGAGGAACCTATAACTTAGACTATTGTTGCTACAAAATTTCAATATCTACAGATTCGTTTTATATTTGGTGGTCTTGAAGAGGCTTGATAACTCAATGATACTAACTCATTATAATTTTTTCAAAGGGTCCTCATTGTTTAAAATGTTCCACCTAATCCGTTTGATTTCTGCCCCATGTGCATCACATTTCATATTAATTTCATATTAGACTTGCATTTAACAACTGCATGAACGCTTCTATAGGATTAGGATCCAGTGACTATTTGACAAAGGGAAAGGACATCTTACCAAACCCATTTTCTTTTAGTATTTTGTTGCATTAATTTACTCAATTATACATGTTTCCTGATGCCACCAACTCCAACTGCCCACATAAGGGGTAAATTGTGCAAAAAAGTCCTAAACCTATTGTATGACAGTTAATTCAGTCCTAAATTGTGCAAAAAGTCCTAAAATCTTTTGACGATTTGCCAATGTAGTCCTTCGAGTCAATTTTGGCCACAAATCGTTAATGTGGACGCTAGCCATCTTACGTGGCACGACCGCCATGTTAGCGATTTCCGGTCAAAATTAGTCAAAATAACTATATTGACAAATCTTCAAAATGTTAGGAATTAATTAGCAAATCGTCAAAAATTGAAAAGTTTATAACCGAAAAGGCCGCTATACAATAAGTTTAGAATTTTTTGGACAATTCTACCTCCACATAAGCAACAATACATGCTCTAGTCTTTCTTGTACAGCTAGACAAGCAACATCATGTTTCGACTTAAGATTGAGAATTTTCAATTGGAGAGCAGCAATTTTTCGTACCAAGTTCTCCTTACATGGAACATTCAGACTAAAAAATTACCGAGTTTATATATTTTTGTCATGAAAAAATAATTAATAAAATGGAGGGATCATCAGTAAAATCTTCCGATTAGGCCCATGAAGACGACAACTCGCATCCGTAATAAAATGATAAAAGAGCACGCCTCCCGGTTTAACCGGTTCAAACCAAATCCCTAAAATGTCTTAAATTTAAAACACCTTCTACTTTCTCCTTCACGCTTTACAATCTGGCCTCTCTCTCGTCTCTCCAGCGGCGCCCTTCGTTTTGTTCTCTCTCTCTCTGGTCTCGCCTGAGTCGCCGTCTCGTCACGTCTCCCTCCATCTCGTGAATTTCGACCTCGCCTTCGTCAGTCGGCCTTCAGTCAGCCCACTAGGTACTCTCTCTTTGTGTGACTTCGATTTCTTCAGCAATTTGCCATAGCCAATCGATGGCTGTGAGTCGTGACTAACCACACCCACCACCTGTGTTTTTTTTTTTTCCTAAACCGCGTTCGACTGATGCCTTGCCTCGAGCCAGCCCATTGACAATTTTCGTTCAGCTCAATTTTGTCTCAAGTCTCGATTGCTTCGTGCGATGACACCGTCCACTGACACATCAGGAATGAAGTTCGAGGTGTTCCTGAGTTTTAGAGGACCGGATACTCGGGACAACTTTACTAGTTGCCTCTATCATGATATGGTGGAGAAAGGAATCCGCGTCTTCAAAGACGACGAAGAGATCCGAGTTGGTCAAAAGTTTGGGGGAGAGATTTTGCAAGCCCTTGAAGACTCTCAAATCTATATCCCCATCTTCTCTAAGGGATTCGCTTCCAGTGTGTGGTGTCTCCGTGAGGTTGCACATATGGTAGATTGCACTTCAAAGTCGGATGGGAAGAAGGAGATCCTTCCCGTATTCTTTGACGTGAAATCAAGTGATGTGAAGCTTCGAACAGATTTGTACAGAGATGCCCTGTCTGAGCATGAGAAGAATAAGTACGTCTCCCATGAAGTGAAGCGCTGGGAAGAAGCTCTTGTTGAGGTTCCGACTAGAATAGGTTGGAAGCTGGAAGGAAAAGGGTAACTTTTTCACACCTTTTTTTGAGCTATATTTTATTATAATATGTGAAGTATTTATTTTTTTAAGCTAAAACTTAATTGGTCAAGTTATGCATTTAAAGATATAGATCGACTTTTATAACATATTCAATCCATTCTTCGAGTTATTAATTTCTCTATAATTGATACGTAAGTTGAGAAAAAGTTAATGCGTCTGTTATGTCATGGTCTAGCTGTTGAATGTTGAGTTTTTTTTAATTTTTTGGTCAAATTGTTGAATGTTGAGTTGGCGTCTTGTTTGGTTGTCAAAAACCGCAAAACAAATTTAAATAGAAAAATAAATCATTTTCAACAATTTAGAAAAAAGAAAAACGGAAACAACAAACAGACAGATATTAATGCATGTAATTGTAAATCAAACATCCTGATTTTGTAATATTAGCATTTGAATCTTAGATCACTCTCCAAATGTTTCCTACACTCTAGAAATAACTAAAAACTGTATAGACTGCTATGGTGGTGAATTTTATCTATAACATATCACGGCTCTCCCTCGTGTTTTAATGGTGTGCTTCTTGCAAAAAAAAAAAGGACAGAGAAAAAAATATGCGAAACATTAACGGCACGCCTAGTTGCAGTAATAGCCATATATTTCATAATTCTGATTTTAGGAGTAATATAGAAACTATGATAATATTCCTCCTTTATTACATATGTTATTCATGAAACCAAACAGCGTAAGAGATTTATATTTTTAAACCCAATAGAGTAATAGTTATTAAAACTCTATTAAATTTCAGCGTAACAAGTGTCACATAGATGGTTACTAGAAGCAACCATTCCATTCATTTTTATCAATATCCTAATTTTTTTTTTCCATTTCCTCTTTATCACTTCATCCAAACTGAGCATTAGTGTTTAAACTCAATCAATGAGAGTCTAGGCAGTAGTTAGTGTTTAAATCCAACCAATGGGAGTCTATGCAGCAGCCACAACAACTAATTCAAGCCCTTTATAATTTAGACTATTTTCATTGTAACTTGAGATTGTTACGTTTAAATGGATTCAAATTTGTCATTTGAAAAACTGCCATTGTCTGTAAATCGTTTTTCATATATTTAGGTTATGTTGGCAGGTATGGGGAACTTATAAAAGTGATTGTTCGAGAGGTACTACTTAAGCTGAATGGAAAGAAAAGACATCTTCCCGACCGTCTAGTTGAAACGGATGATCTAGAACATATAGAGGAATTGTTGGATGTTAACTCTGATAACCATGTGCGTTTCGTTATAATCCACGGGACGGGCGGTATTGGAAAATCAACTCTTGCTAGGGTTATCTTCAACCGATTCCAGTCTAAATTCAATTGTTGTAGTTTCCTTGGAGATGTCCAAAGTCATTGTCTTTTAGACATGCAAAAGAAACTGTTATCCGAAACACTTGGGTCGAACTCTGCTCAAGATATCTATGACACCGATAACGGGATCAATCGCATAAAAAGAGGACTTGGCAAAAAGAAAGTTCTGGTTGTTATCGATAATGTGGATGAGAAGAAGCAACTCGAGAACCTCGCAGGGAATTGCAATTGGTTTGGTTGTGGAAGTAGGATCATTGTCACACTCAGGGACCTAAGGCTAATACAAAATAAAGACAACCAAACACGACCTAGCAATTACATGGACTACCCAGTAAAGGAGATGCCTTTTGATCAAGCGGTTCAACTTTTCAGCATGCATGCTTTTAGAAGCAATACTCCTACGAAATATTGCTACAAATTGTCAAAAGAAGTCGTTTCAAGGGTAGGAAAGCTCCCTTTGACTCTAGAAGCCGTGGGTTCTCTTTTCACCAGCATGGTCAGATCCGAGAGGGACGAGAGGTTGGAGGAGTTTAAGCAAGCCCCGCCTCGCAACATCCAAGAAACACTGATGATAAGTATCAACATATTGGACAACACAGAAAGAGCCATATTCCTAGACATAGCATGTTTTTGCATAGGGGAGGATAAGACTTATGCGGATTACATGTGGCGTAGTAGCGGCTATTCTTCACGCAATGCAATTGATGTTCTTCTCCTCATGTCGTTGATAAAGATTGATGAGAACAATAGGTTCTGGATGCATGATGAAATTCGAGATCTAGGAAGGTACATTGTCAAAAATGACAATGTCGAAGATGCTGGAAAGCGCTCTTGGGTGTGGATTGATGAGAAGAATTTAGACATACTAAGGAGAAGTGAGGTAAAATTAATTAAGAGTATAAGATATTGTCAATCCAGCAAAATCTCTCATCATATGCTTTAAAATCGAGATTATTGGTTGATGGCCTTTTTTGTTTACTAATGTACAGAAAAATAGAAAGCAACTCTATAAACAACAAAAGTAGATGTTTTCATGGCTTAACCCATGTGAAACGAGTAGAACGCCGTTTCGTTAGTTGAAATTCTTCGTTTCTTGTTTCGGCGAGAATGAAATTTCTTTGTTTCCTTGAAGGTGTTTAGTCTATGAAAAGACGGAAAAATCAACACCGAATGAACATTTTAAACATGCTTCGTTTGTCTTGTTTTCAAGTTGATAAAAGAAAATGATAATTGTTTTGTCATAACCTGCGTTTTATTAAATTAGTTTGGGGTTGAAGAAGAACTACTGTTATTGTTGTACACTCATCTTTATTCTCTGTTGTTGGTGGTAGGAAAAACAAGCCGTACGAGCACTCAGTATGGGTATTAATTATGACTTAACACCTAAAGAATTAGCCTATTTCCCAATGCTAAGGTTCCTTGGAGGGGACAACATCAATTTCATAGGCGACTTTGAAAATCTTCTTCATAACCTAAGATGGTTTTCTTGGCATCATTGCCCTATGGATCTTTTGGTGACAAATCTCAACCTGATGAATTTGGTTGTGCTCGACCTTTCAAGGAGCAACATCACCCATGACTGGAGTGGATGGAGACAAATCAAGGTATCGACACACCTAGCTCATGTTCGCTTCGAATTTTGCCAATTGACCTTTGCTAGCTAGTTGTACTGTATTCTCATAATTTTCGTCACGCACGTAATCCATTCCTTTTTTTTTTCCACTACAGGCAAAAAATTTGAAAGTTCTAGATCTGACGTTGTGTTGGGAGTTAACCCAGACACCTGATTTTTCACAGTTCCCCAAGTTGGAGAAATTGATTCTCACCAATTGTTGGAGATTGTCTACAATTGATAGCTCCATCAGAAACCTAAAAATGCTAAGCACTTTAGATATCACTGGATGTTCTTCCCTCCAAGGGTTGCCTGAAGAAATCGGTTCACTAGAATGCTTGTCAGAGATTACCATACCCAAGACATTCAAACGGTTCAAGCTTCCTGAGACACTAGGCAAGTTAAAATCTTTGACAAAGTTTAAAATCTTTGATAATGGTGATGTCTACCAACTACCTCACTCTATTGGAAGGTTAACGAATCTCACGCATTTGTGGTTGACTCATTGTTATAATCTAGTTGAACTTCCGGACTCTATTGGAGAACTAAAATCTTTGGTCGAGTTAAATCTAAGATATTCACGCATCTCCATTCTCCCTGATTCCATTGGAAATCTAAAGAGACTAAAAGTCTTAAACGTGCAATCCACAAAGATACACACATTACCAAGTGCTCTCGGAAGGGTGAAAATGCTCGAAGAACTCAATGCCTCGTCTTGTCTGGAGCTCACGGATGAAATCTCGTGGGAAATGTGGAGCTTGACCCGTCTGAGGATCTTGAACTTATACGAGAGCCCAATCTCGACAGTGCCAACAAAGATCGGTGGTTTCTCTAATCTCCAAACGCTTAAAATCTCAAGCCGCCGGCTTCAACCATTGCCAGAGCTTCCCTTGAGTTTGAAATGTCTAGTGGTTGAAGCTGCTATTCCTGTTCTTCCTGACCTCTCGAGCCTAGTTCATTTAGATCATCTTGAAGTGGGGATTAAAGTTCCAAGTACTAACTGGTGGAAACCGACGGGGGCTAGCTCACTTTGGAAGGACGCGCAGTCCATCCATCGGCTTCCACGTGGCTTATCAACCTTGAAAGTTTACTGGATCCCGCAATTGCCAGATTTTTCTGCCTTCAAAAGCTTGTCGGTTCTCCATATCTACTACTGTCCGATGCCACACTTCCCTGGACTTAAATACTTGGAGAGCTTAAGGGAGTTGACGATACGGCTGTGCTGTGTCATGGAGAGCACACCCGATTTATCGTGCTTGAAGAGGCTACAGGAGTTAAGGCTGCTTTTCCTATACAGTTTGGCGGAGATTCCAGGTTTGGGGGAAGTGGAATCATTGAAGTCTTTGTACATTCACGAGTGCAATAAGATTGAACAATTGCCTAACCTGTCGAAGTTAAAAAATCTACGGCATCTCTCCATTACCTCTTGTCAAAAGATGAGAGCCATCGAAGACTTGAAAGAACTGAATTTTTTGAAGCAGGTGGAGGTCAAATGTTGCCCGTCCATGGAAAAGTTGCCCACTGTGCCGGCATTCACCAAGTTGGTGAAAGATTCGAAGTCACGAGTTCGATGGTGCTAGAAGCTATAGAAGACATCATTCAATATTGTTGAACAAATGCAGGATGCATCATCCCGAAATCGCAGGTACATACAATTAAGGCACATCATGTCCCGATTGTACGAAAAAAAGGAGATATTAGAGTAATTAAATATTAAACCACACTTTCATCTAACAGTTTAAACGTTTAGTGTGGTCTTTTTACCTAGTATTAAGCGTTGACATATTTTATTGGAGAGGCAAATGGGTCGTGGACATATTTAAGCGTGATATCAGAGCGGAAGGTTCTGAGTTCAAATCTTTTCAAGCCCCATTTGCCTCTCCAATTAAATATGTCCACTCTTAATACAGGCAAAAAGACCAGATTAATTGTGAGGAGAAGTGTTAGTGTAATTAAATATTAAACAACGCCTTCATATAACAGTTTAAACTTTTATAATAGTTGGCAGTGGTCCCATAAAATCTCACAAGGAAGATATATAGCATTTATCACCGTGAGTGATAATGTTACTCTTACATGAATTAAATTCTGTTTCTTAAGATAGCATTTATCACCATGAAATTTATTGTCCACCAATAAAATGTATTGCTTATGGGAATTTGCAGGTGAAGTTGTCTGGATCCATAAGTAGTCAATACTTGACTGCTTTGCTAATGGCTGCTCCTTTATCTCTAGGGGACGTGGAGATTGAGATCATTGACAAACTAATTTCCATTCCTTATGTTGAGATGACTCTAAAGTTAATGAAACGGTTTGGGGTTTCTGTTGAGCACACTAGTGGCTGTGATAGGTTCTTGGTCCAAGGAGGTAAAAAATACAGGTATTCCTTGTGCTATGTGCCATGTGATTGGTTGACTCGACAGTTTTCATATCTTCAGTTTAACCGATCCATAAAATGACAGGACTCCTGGAAAAGCTTATGTGGAAGGTGATCCTTCAAGTGTTAGTTACTTCCTAGCAGGTGCAGCCGTCACTGGGGGAACTGTTACTGTTGAAGGTTGCGGTACAAGTAGTTTACAGGTATCTAGGCCCAATCTCAGGTTCTGCTCTAAAGATTCAGCATTTAACTATTTTTATCACGTAAACTATGATAGTCTCTATTTCATGGGAAGAAAATTTTCTGGTTACATAATTCGTGGGCTTCTCTTATATCGAAAATGTGCCTGAAAAACCTTGGATTGTCAACTTTTGCTGATATAGGGCAACGTAAAATTTGCCAAAGTCCTTGAGAAAATGGGAGCTACAGTCACCTGGACAGAGAACAGTGTTACCGTGACTGGACCTCTACAGAATTCTTTTGGAAGAAAGCATTTGCGCGCTATTGATGTCAACATGAATAAAACGCCAGATGTTGTCATGACTCTTGCAGTGGTTGCACTTTTTGCTGATGGGCGCAATGCAATTAGGGATGGTATGGTTCAATTATGTCAGTGATTTGCTGTAATGCGTGCTTCTGATTTTAATCTATTGTTGGGTACAACGTGTAGTCATGTTCTAAGTCAGTGGTACAATACCAAAAGTAAAACTCACCTTTTGGTCCATTACAACGTTGCGTTTTCTACTTTTAAACCGCTACTTCTCTCCTGTATTTTGTTTGTAGACTTCACATTATACTTGACATTAACTAATATCATAACTCTATTTATAAAATTTTCATTTTTCTTCCAAAATGCCCATACCACTCTTGTGACCTCATCGACCGAAAACCAGGGGAGATAGAGAGAGAGATGTGGTCGCCACTGACTGTGGCATGTGGTGGCCATGATGGTTGTTCAGGTGTTTGGGGAGTTAGGATTTGCGGGTTATTTGATTTTTGGGATGTGTTTTCTCTAGGGAGAGTGATTTGATCTTTTAGCTTATGGATTTTTGTCCTGAAAAGCAAAACATCCTGAGTTACTGATTCGCTATCACAAGCTAGTTGACAGTCAATCTTACAGGGGGTTAAAACCTAGATGCCTCTTCTTTAAGAACACTGCCTTATTTCCTCGGATATGACAGGCCTATAGTTTTGGAAGATGGCATTTTAATTCTCTAGGCCCCTTATACAGCACTGCACCTTCTATGGTTATTCTGCAGTCAAAGCGGACATTCCAGTTCGAGTGTACCAAAATTTTTGTTGTCCCCCTTCCTCTTGTGCTTTATAGAGGGACATCTTTGTGAGCCATGAATTCTTGCGACCCTATTAGGACAACATGAATTGCTTATTATAAAAGAAGAGCGGCTTCTTTCAGCAGTGGGTGCAGAAAACAGCCTAGTTGTGCCTGGCACTAGTGCATTTATGCTACTAGGAAAGCATTATTATTATCAAAGCATCAGGAAATTATTACATACTGTTTATCTCTGAAAAATTTACTCAAGGGAAAAAATTTCTTTGAATCTTTGTTTTCAGTGGCAAGTTGGAGAGTGAAGGGAACGGAACGAATGATTGCTATATGCACAGAGCTCAGAAAGGTGAGCTGGTAGTTTCTGCAATTTCTAAACCTTGTCCATGTTTTTAGATCTTTGAGGTGAAATTTGGGTTCTTCCAGCTGGGAGCAACGGTTGAAGAGGGCTAGACTACTGCGTGATTACTCCTCCAGAGAGACTGAACACGACAGCTATCGACACGTACGATGATAACCAATTGGCCATGGCCTTTTCACTCGCTGCTTGTGCAGACGTTCCATTTACAATCAAGGATCCGGGTTGCACTAGAAAAACTTTCCCCGACTGCTTTGCAGTTCTCCAGAGCGTCACCAGCCGTTAAAAAATTGTGAGCGAGCATGTTGGTAATGCCCACCACTCCCCCTAAGCAATGTCATGCCCGGTAGTCTGATTGTATGTTTGCCTATACATGGTTATTGGAGCTACGGCTTCCTTTTTCTTGTTTCTTGGACTGTATTCTTGGACCTCACCTATAAAGTTTCAAGAGGGCCTCGTATGTTAATATAATCGGGGAACTGCACCAGCCAATTTTTGTGTAGGTGAGTCTTCCATTAGTACTATAAGTTGTAGACCTGGTTAGTAACAACCACTTGATCTTGAAGTTCAGCCGATTAGTTGCTTGTAAGTTTGGTAAGTACCAAGCCAGGTTAAGATTTTGCAGTCTGGCTTTTCATGAGGCATATAATCGACATTAAACTTTAGGCCAAGTGTCGGTTCCAAGTATTAACTCTCACCGAGCGATAGAACTGTGAGCTATACTTCTGGAGTTTGAGATGCCTAGTGGTTGCAGCTGCTGATTTCCCATTTCTTCCCGACCTCTCGAGCCTAGTTCATTTACATCATCTCGAAGTGCGTAAAGAACAAAGTATAACATTTTGGAGCCCGAACGAGGTTACCTCGCCTTGGAAGGACGCACAGTCCATCTATCGTCTTCCACCTAGCTTATCAACCTTGAAACTTCACCCTATCCTGCAATTGCCAGATTTTTCTGACTTCCAAAGCTTGTTGGTTCTCTCTATTAGCGGATGTTTGATGCCACGCATGCCCGATCTGTCGTGCTTGAAGTGGCTACATGAGTTACGACTCAATGACTTCCCCAGACTGGCAGAGATTCTTGGTTTGGGGGAGCTAGAATCACTCGATTTTCTGCAGATTACCATGTGTAATGTGATCAAACAATTGCATAACCTCTCGAAGTTGAGAAATCTACAGCATCTCGAGCTAAAACATTGTGCAAAACTGAGAGCCCTCGAAGGCTTGAAAGAATTGGATTCTTTGGAGAATGTGGAGATAAGATATTGCATGTCCATGGAAAGATTGCCCGTTGTGCCGGCATTCACCGAGTTAAAGACAAATTGGATGGCGCCAGAAGCTCCAGAACACACCATTCGGTCCACCGTGCTGGGAAAGCGATTGCAACTTTGGGAATTGTGGGATGAATAAGCTTTGGAGCAGAATGCATCATGTCCGGGTTCGAGCTAGTGCAACACTAATGTGAGTAGCTTGAACTCCTTCCAGATTTTCTTTGCATCATAGCTATTGGTTTGAATATCTGCATCGAAATTCTCGGATGCGTCTTGATTAACTCAAAGGAAGACAGAAGTTTTCATTTGGGCTGTTTGCTGACCTGTAGAGTTGGCTCGGGAAAGGGGCTTGTATAGAGTTGGCGGCGAGTTTTCAGGGTTTTAAGGCCCTGCACGTCGAATTATAGCCAAATTGACGAGCACACATTCACCACCGACATGAACTAATCCAAGTGTCGTTACATCACTTCTTGAGCCCTGTGTTCTATTTCTTAATGATGTTAAGACGGTGTTTTATTTGTCAAATTTGAATTCATGTGATGCATGAAGTCATTATGCCTTATTCATTTCAATTACGCGCTATCCATTTGATATTATTGAAGATATGATTGAAGATTATGATCGTGGGCATCGGTATTGATTTAGTCAATCCATGATTAGTTTAGGAAATTAAAAATCTCTTGTATATTATTTCCTATTCTTTTCTCTTTTCGTACATTATAAATAGATCGATGTACATGTTTACAATTAATATAATACAATACAAAAATTCCCCCAATTCTCTTCAGTTTCTGTCATGGTATCAGAGCCTTCAATCCTGGCCTAGCTTCCGCATCTTTTAGAATTGTCTCCGTTTTCTTGTTTTCTGGTTTGTTGTTGCAATTCATATCCTGCAAAACAAATCGGAAATACCGGAAGGAATTCGATTTCTTGATACCATGACAAACGACAAAAACACCAACACCGGTGATATCAACACTGGTGAAATCCACGAACCTTCAATGGAGGAATCCTCGAATCAAATTAATCTGACTGAAGAAGAACGTGCTTCTGAGCGACGTTCTGATGGATCTCCCACTAATCCGGTCCAAGTTCCTGGCTCGATCCAATGGCCAGCAATCCAATGGATTCCGATTCAAGGCCAGTGGCCAACTGGATCAAGTCAAACATGGACCCAATATGTGCCACCCGGAGAGGATAAAACTTCAGGACTCGGAACACAGCCGAATGCAAGTGGGCCAGTTCCTCCCACTCCCCGAGCAAACCAAAACAGTGGATCGGGTTGGATGGGTCACGGTCACAGACCTGAATCCACCTATCCGAGTCTAGGGGCGAATCCCTACCCGGTTTTCCAACCCGGATTCTTCCCGTACGCGATTCCAGCAAACGGCGGCCGCCCAGAACCCGGCGACCCTCTGTACACTTCGCCAGCGGACGGACCAGAACTCCGACTCATAAGCTTGCAGCTTGCCGGACCAGACAACTACACCGCCTGGGCCCGAGACCTTCGGCGAGCCCTGGTCACAAAAGATAAAGACGGGTTCCTCGACGGAACCGTCCCCTTTCCGACTGATGAGCGACTACAACGGCACTGGCGACGGTGCAACCAACTGGTTCGCACTTGGATCGGAAATTGCCTAGCACCCGATGTCGCGGCTGGACTGCCACCAACAGAAGATTCAAAAACAATATGGGAAAGCATACGGGAGATGTATGGAAAATTAGATCGAGCAAAGATATTCACTCTCACGCAAGCCCTATCCGAATTGAAACAGGGTAACCGATCGGTTACTACGTGCTTCAAATCAGTTATCGGCTCTCTGGAACGAGCTCGAGGCAGCCGAGGAGCGGCTCGAGGGACCCGAGACCACGCTCCGACAATAGAAGGAAATAAAGGAACGGGAGAAGGCTACGAGATTCTTACTCATACTCAACGAATCATATTCATCCTTCCGGTCGCAAATACTTGCAATGGAACCCGCGCCGCCACTCGGCCGGATCTATCAATTAGCCGTCCAGGAGGAGAGCCAACGACTGGCCGTGTCTGAGCATGCAAGGATGGGTGAAAGCGCCACTTTCGCCGCTTTCCCGTCTGGCTCTATTACGGCGGGATCGACGAACGGAAGTGAAGAAGCTCTCGGGAACGTCGGGTTTCGAAGAGCAGCAGCGACGGAATCGTTGACCGGAGAACAGGGAGCTCTTGGGAGCATCACGGGACGAAGAATTGCTGCAACATCCAAAGAAAACGATGTATACCCTAGGTCTTCACGGATCAACGGCTGGGATCAGCACAAGAGATCAAACGGCCCATATTCGCTCATCAGCCCAGCCGAATCTGATGGCTCTAATCAAGCCACGTCGGCACAAACTTATAGGGGATCCTACGGCTCACGAATTGCCACGTCATCAGGAAAGGTTAGTGGGCAAAATTCTAAATTCAAAAATAAATATTGTGAATATTGCAAGTGCCCACACCATACTGTTGATACCTGCTGGAAATTACATGGGAAACCAAGTGATAAAAATAGAAAGGAGAAGGAATTTTCTGCTTATCAGGTCTCTGCACAAAGAATTGATGGAGCACATGAAACAATTACTCGAGAGCAGTATCAGAATATTATGAAGGCTCTGAGTCAATTGAAAACCAGCGACAAAAATGCAAGTTTCTCAGGTACTTTTCTTTACAAGAGGAATTCGATTTCAGTTGATACATGGATAATCGACTCAGGAGCCAGTGACCACATAATTTGCAATGAGCATTTATTTTCCGATATTCATGATTCACAATCCGCCACATCTGTGCGTCTTCCAAATGGAAATATCACACGTCACTAAAATAGGGACCGTCCATCTTGGTCCCAATTTCATCTTGAAGAATGTCCTATATATTCCTGATTTTGAGTTCAACCTTCTTTCTGTCTCAAAAGTCTGCGAAGATAATTCTTGTCGTGCAATATTCAGTTCAGAAAATTGTTTCTTTCAAGATCATTCGACTGGGAAACTGATGGGCTTGGGTAATATAGCGCAAGGACTATATTTTTGGATAGATACCCCAGGAGATTTAGATTCGTTGAATAAAAGCATTTCTTGTAATGCAACCATTCATAATAAAAATCTCCTTTTTCATCAACGCTTGGGTCATAATGCGCGTTTCCCTCATCCAAAATGTCCAATATGTTCTTTGGCTAAACAATCTCGAGCATCCCTTCCAAACAGTACATCTCGAGCAAAAAGTTCATTTTCCTTACTTCATATGGATATTTGGGGTCCTTATCATACCACTCATCGTGATGGGTCTCGTTTCTTCCTCACGATTGTTGATGATTATACGCGTGCTACTTGGGTCTTCCTCATGCAATCCAAAAGCCAAACCTTTTCTAATCTGTCGAATTTCTTTTCTCTGGTTAAAAATCAATTCGATAAATCTATCCAGCGAATTCGCATAGATAATGGACAAGAATTCTTTACTTCTTATTGCATATCATTTCTATCTACCCATGGAATAATTCATGAAAGCTCCTGCACCTACGCTCCGCAACAAAATAGAATTGTTGAACGCAAGCATAGACATCTCTTGGAAATAGCTCGAGCACTAAAATATCAAGCTTCCATTCCTGAGAATTTTTGGGGAGATTGTGTAGTCACGGCAGCCTACTTGATTAATCGCATGCCAACTAGAATTCTTGGTGGCCGTACTCCTTTTGAAATGCTTTATGGAAAGGAGCCAAAAATTGATCATCTTAAAGTTTTTGGCTGTTTATGTTATGCAACAACTGTGGGCCCTCGAAATAAAATGGATCCCCGTGCCACTAAGTGTATTTTCATGGGATATACTCCTCTTCTAAAGGGATATAGAGTTATGGAGATATCTACAGGACATTTCTTTATCATCAGGGATGTTGTATTTCATGAAGATATATTTCCATTCCAAGAGATGACGTCTTCGTCCCAATCATCCTTATCATCACGGGACCACCGGCAATTCTTATCCGATGAAGATTTATTTATGGCTCCAGAATATCATTTTGTTGCACCGGAATCATCCGATAAAATTATGAGCGATTCTTTGAGCCACACTGAAGAATCACCAGAATCAATATCCAAGGATATTCATTTGCCTACCTCCCCCACGACGGCTTCAACTCCATCGCAGGCGGCCCAAGGATCCCCATCACCTGTACCTGAACAACCTCCAACTGAGGAACTTCGACGCTCTAAACGGAATATCCGTCCACCTACATGGACAAAGGACTATATATGTTCTACTTTGAGTTTTCCAAGTACACAATATCCTATATCCTCATATGTCTCTTTTAATCGACTATCACCAGAACATATGTGTTGCATTAGTCGCATTTCAGAATAATATGAGCCATCTTCATATAGTGAAGCAGCACGTGACCCTCGATGGCAAAATGCAATGGCGTCTGAACTTCATGCTCTCATGGAAAACAACACTTGGGATATTGTTCCGTTACCCCCACATCGAAAGCCAATCGGCTGTAAGTGGGTGTATAAAATCAAATTCAAAGCTAATGGCTCAATTGAAAGATATAAGGCCCGATTAGTTGCTAAAGGGTTCACACAACAGGAAGGGTTTGATTATCATGAAACTTTTTCTCCTGTTGCAAAAGAGGTAACCGTCCGTTCTTTCTTGTCAATTGCCGCCATTCGCAATTGGCAACTACATCAGATGGACGTTCATAATGCATTCCTACATGGAGATCTCGATGAGGAAATTTACATGGAACTTCCACAGGGATTACACAGACAGAGGGAGTCTCGAGTATGTCGTCTCTGTAAATCCCTATATGGGCTAAAACAGGCATCTAGGCAATGGTATGCTAAATTCACTGCTACACTAACAAGTGTAGGTTTTCAGTATTCCAAACATGATTATGCTCTGTTCACATGGACTGCAGGTGCTTCATCAATTTATTTGCTAATATATGTTGATGATATACTTATCATGGGAAATAATGACCTTCTTGTTGGAAAATTCAAAGAATATTTGCACTCTACTTTCCACATCAAGGATCTGGGACCTCCTAAATATTTCCTTAGCATTGAAATTGCTCGGTCTGAAAAAGGAATCAACCTTAGTCAGCGAAAATTCATCTTGGAAATTGTTTCTGAAGTAGGATTATCAGGATGTAAACCAGCCGTCATACCAATTGAGCAGAATACCAAATTGACAACACATGAGTATGATGCGGGTTCATCTTCATCTATTGAGGATCCATTGCTCAAGGATCCATCGGGATATCAGCGACTTGTTGGGAAACTAATATACCTCACCATGACAAGACCCGACATATGTTATGCGGTGCAAATACTCAGTCAATTCATGCATAGCCCGAAACAGTCTCATATGAATGCAGCATTAAAAGTGGTAAAATATTTAAAGGGATGCCCAGGACTTGGTATATTTTTGTCTCGTGACTGCAACATGAAGATGACAGCTTATTGTGATACAGATTATGCTACTTGCCCAATGACCAGGAGATCCATCACTGGTTTTTGCATCAAATTGGGAAAATCTTTAATTTCATGGAAAACAAAGAAACAGTCAACAGTATCATTGTCATCAGCTGAATCAGAGTATCGAGCCATGGCAAAAACTGTCTGCGAAATAGTTTGGATACGAGGATTACTTTCGGACCTTGGGATGCAAGTCAATGGACCAAGTGAATTGTTTTGTGACAATGATGCTGCACTCAAATTAGCGGCAAATCCAGTATTCCATGAAAGAACGAAACATATAGAAGTTGATTGCCATTTTACTCGGGATAAGATTCAAGAAGGAATCCTTGTAACAAAAGGAATTGGAACTATGGAACAACCTGCAGACATCTTCACTAAACCATTATGTCAAAGACAACATTCATACCTATTGAGCAAGCTAGGTGTCCTCGACATATATAGGCCACCAGCTTGAGGGGGAGTGTTGGAGATATGATATTATTGAAGATATGATTGAAGATTATGATCGTGGGCATCGGTATTGATTTAGTCAATCCATGATTAGTTTAGGAAATTAAAAATCTCTTGTATATTATTTCCTATTCTTTTCTCTTTTCGTACATTATAAATAGATCGATGTACATGTTTACAATTAATATAATACAATACAAAAATTCCCCCAATTCTCTTCAGTTACTGTCACATTTCAATTATCCGGAAACTATGTATTTATTACGTATGATAAGGCTTAACGAATCTTCATTACCAATATGGTATGATATCGGTTGCAATAGGCACGATGGCGTCTCCTACCGTTTGAGGTTTAGCCAATGAAAGACTAAATTCATTTCCAATTTGTAATCCATCACTCACTTGATGAAACAATAATGGGGGCTACTACAATTTCCAAATCTGCTTACTGAAATGTTGCCTACGTGATTCTACATTACCAAATGAGTTGTATCACATATTGAAGAAATTGGTTGCACCAATTTGACAAGCTTGTGACTTGATTGCACTATCTAAGAGCTTAAAAACTCAGCTATACTTTCGCCATAAGTTTTATAGACTTCAAATGCATTAATCCCAAAATAAAAATTAGGGGTTGAGTCTTATTGCTTCACAACAGCAATCGCTCCCGCCCCTTAAGAAAGATTAAAAGAATCTCAGCACCCTTTGTATGATCTGAGCCTCTTCGAAATTGTCAGGTGCATTTTTGATTGCATCAAAGGAAAACAGAAGTTTTCATTTCGGCTTTTGTTTGCTAACCTGTAGAGTAGCTGGCTTGGAAAAAATGCAAAGAAAGAGTAGGCGGCGAGGATTCAGTGTTTTGAGTCCCTGGACGTGGAATAAAAGGCAAATTGGCAACACACATTCTCCACCAACATGAACTAATCCAAGTGTCCTCATGTCACTTCTTTGAGCCATCTATTATATTTCTTCGAGGCAAATGGGAATCTACATTGAAGCTTATGGAAAAATTCAAAAACGTTTCTATAGATATGAAGCATTTACGTCTACGGTCACAAATCATCTGTCATTATGGATATGGCCGATCTCTTTTCGTAATGTGAAGATAACAAGACAATACACAGCATAGGAAGTGAATTGTTGCGCACTGTTATTAAGACCATGTTTTCCTCTGTCACTGGCTATAGGAAATAGGCCTTCTTATTGGTGAGTTATAAATATAAATATTGCATGTGAGTAATGTTCATAACTTGTAATCTACCAATCAGAGATATAGTTTGAATGAAGTTTCCTCCAATCTGTACAAGATACCGGTTTCGAGTATTTTCCAAGTCTAGCAGCAGAGTCCAGAAGCCCCGTGTATTTGATTGTTTTGGGTGAAATATTGATGTAACTGCTGTTATGTGTTGGTGAGTGTTATTGGTTCTCTTCTCATGATCAGAAAGGTTGTTTATGGTCATAGATACTTGGTACTAACGCTCGGGCGGCAAAATCTGTACAAGATACCATTTTCGAGACAATGCCATGAAAGCCAACAACTTTTTTCCTTTCCCATGATATTGTATTGTAGGTGTTCGCTAAAATATCTCAGCAGATTTCTGATCTATTATGTTCCTTCAAGGCAGAAGTACTAGGCCTTGATCCTAGAGAAGTTGATGTTCCACTTATTGGGGGTCAAACAGGAGTGACGATATTACCTCTTTTATCTCAGGTTTGTGATGTTATTCTTCCTAATAAGAACTTGTTATAAGTTTGACAGCAAGGCTATTAGAAATTGCACTTTTCTGTAGAAGGCTAAAAGTCAGTTGGTATTTCCAAAATCTGCAGGTTAAACCACCTTGTACTTTCACTCCTCAAGATTACCTGACATCACGCATCCAAAATGGCAGCACAGAAGTTATCGAGGTAAATAAATTTCCATTAGATGTCAATTTAGGCAGTGTTGCCGTCATATCACATTCCGTTAGTCTCTTCAGTTTTGGGTTTCAGGTTGTGTAATAGTGCTTTAGCTGTTCTGGCGATGTTCATTTTGTTAAGGACTTGTGACAAAAGCTTTGAAGAACTTGGGCTACCTAAGGAGTACACTGTTACAAGCAAGCATCATGTCTTCCAGACACAAGACTGCATGCTTAATCATGTTAAAGTCTGTAAATTCTTTAAATTCACAAGCAATTTCAAAGATGTACTCCGCTGAGAAGTTTCTTTATGAGAAGGGTGAGATTTTCTCAAGAATCACTTCTTAGGTCCATGTGGACATAAATCCTGTACCGAACATTAGAGAGCTTGTTATCATCTCTACTTGTAGAGGACAAGGAATTCGATTTACGAATGCCACCTTGGCAACCTATCCACTACCGCTACACAAGAAAGGTGTTAATAAAGATCTGCTGGAATTAATGGGACACCTCGCTTGTGGAAGTATGTACAAGGTGATTACTTCGTCTCGGCTATAGGCACTAGGCAGAAGCAAGCAGTCGGGGAGAATATCTTAGTTTCTGATTATTTTGTCTGGTCATCATTAAGGAGAACAAAGGAAGGTAACAGAAAGAATGTAGGGACAGAGCACCACACATCTTTTGTTGTTATGGCTAAGAGAATGACTTGCAATTGATAGTAAGTGGAGAAGTTCATCTTGAAGTGATCGTTGATGTCCACTCGAAACTGGATTTTTCTGCATCTGTTTCCGCAGTGAAATTATGACATGACGTCTTAGTCTTCACTTCTATGCTTCCCTATATTATGTCTTGAAGCCAACTGAATTGTGTAAAAAATGAAATATGTTGGCATATGTTCCTGTCAAGTTTGGCGATGCGTGCCTATGTGGGTTGAGGGGCGACGCAGCATTGTTGAGTGTGCATTTGTTGCTTTTCAGGTTTGGTGCCTTGGAAAAACTTATCAAGATCCAATCCTTTTACTTCTCTTGAACTCAAACTGAAAAAACCAATGGTTTTCTTTATTGATGTCCCTATTTTCAGGTGACTGAGCTTCCGTTCTTTGCATCCAACGTGCACCTCGGTCATACTGGGGCCGAGGAGGATCTTCTCCTTGGCCCACTGAATGAGTACGAAAGGTCTGGAGTTGATTACATCAAAGGAAGATGAAGTTTTTTAATCTCAGCCTTTGTTTGTTAAACTGTGGAGCTGGCTTGGAAGAGGCAAAGAAAGAGTTAACGGAGACAATTCAGAAGGGCAACTCATATATCAAGAAGTGAGCGGCTTAAAGACGTGGCTTTTCGGTTCTTGGGGTAAGTGGTTCAGATCTAGGAAAATATAGAAGTTCATTCTGCATAGCTAGCATAGAAAAATGACTAGTTTTTCTTTTCTTGCATGTAGCGTACTAAAATTGTTATTTGTGTAATAACAGGGTGGATGGATGTTTGTATATCATTGTCCTATGTCCATCTCTCTCCTGTTCGCGTTCCCAACTTTCTTATGCACCCGTAATGTCACCTCCATGTAGCACTATCAGTTGTGCGACGCCGCAATTTGCAGATGAGAGACAGTGGGTGCTGAATAAGCAGAAGCCAATCTTTTGACTCAAGTGCAGCTCTTTATGGCCTTGTCCAGAAGATTTAAGAGACAAACGAGCAAGAGAGCCATTAAAGAGGCTTTTCATGGGTGTAGTGGGCAGAGGGAGTTGAAATCTGTCACCTGGACACAATAGCACAAGATTGAGAATTTTAAATTGGAGATGCCTCTCCGGAGATTCGCCCTAATCACCAGCAGCAATTTCTCAGCCCACATTCTCCTTATGTGGAGCTTTCAGAATAAAGGATTTCCGAGTATATGTTTTTGCTGTTTCAATGAGAAAACAATTGATTTACAGAAAAAAGAAAAACAGAAAGCTTTAGAAAGTTATCTTGAAGTTGGACGGGCCTCACCAAATTTGCTGCTTTCTCTGGCTGGTGTCTGGTTGCTCATCACCGACTGATGACAAATGAGTATTGCTTCATGTTAAAGATCATTCGAAATACATTCTGCAAGTCTTGCTCTATTAGTCCTGAAATTATTTTTACATTGCAATGAAAATTTGGATCTAGATTGAGAGCCTTGCGCAGGACAAGAGAAATTGGAGTGTGGTGTAGCAAGAGCAATGTCACTCCTGAGCTTTGGAACCCTTCATACGGTTTCCTTAGAGATGCTCTGCAACAATACTTTGCAGTGTGGGTGGAGGAGTGTGATGGAGGCATGATGCACGAATTGTCTCAGAGTCGTCAACTAACACCATAAAAAATTTAATGACGCACGTAAAATCTCGATAACTATCATACAGATTCTTATCAATCTTGCACTCTCATGTAGGTTCTGAGAGTGCAAACTGATCCCAAGTCGACTACATCCAACTGAAAAAGCCGGGGATAGACTGCCCCAATTCCTATATATCTTGGTGAGCCAAATCACTATTGGCATAACATTGAGCGAGTAAATCTCACACCTGTTTGACAGTCCCAAAACTTAATAAACTATACACCAGTGGACATTGTTGCAGATCCATATAATGATTGGGTGGTTTTTACTGATCTAATCTTCAAGTTTTTCGACGTATTTTTTTTCTACAATTTCGTCAGGTGCTCATGGAGGTTCCATGGATGTTTCCTGTCAAATATTTTCTCCCCTTCAAAAAACTAGGCATGGCTTAAACCAGAAATAATAATTAGAACCATCATCGATGGTTTGGACGTGCTGTGAGAGCTCTGACTAATCTTTGCAGTGTGCTGAAAGGTCGAAAGTAAAACTGCCCTCAAACTCGAACAGGACAGTAAAGAAAGCTGGGGCTAATTTGAATCGACAATGAATCAGTCTAGAAGACCTCGAATCGATCAGTCAAGGTATTGAGCCAGTTCGCTCAATAACGCTATTGGGCTGCTGAAGTCTCCTGCTAACATGGCCTGTGACTTGGCCTACTAACATAGCTTGCTGACGTGGTAGGGTGACCTGCCAGGGCCAAACCCAACTTGGCGCTTATAGGTGCGTGGGACCCCCGCTGACCCGGGGATGAGGGCCGCAAAGCCATTGCCGGCCGTGGGCAAGGGCGTCGCGGCCCTCGCCTACCCTCGCTGCGGCCGGCGAGGGCCTGGGCGAGGGCTCTCAACGCCCTCGCTGGCCGTAGTGAGGGTTGTGAGACCTCGCCAAATCCGGCAAGGGCATTGTGGCCCTTGCCCAGGCCGTCGCCGGCCACAACGAGGGCGGGCGACAGCTCACGACGCCCTCGCCGGCCATAGCGATGGCCGCGACGCCTTCACCAGATCTAGCGAGGCGAGGGCATCACGGTCCTCGCCCAAGCCATCGCTGGCCACAGCGAGTGTCACGCCCCGTACCCCAAGAAGCATGAACATCCGCATAGGTCGAAATAAGATGCGACGCTCCCAGGTTACGTCACCGACCCGAAAACCCAAAATAGAGAAAACACGTCACATGCGGAAACGACGTATATATAATATATATATATACACCCAGACAATATAAAAGCAACCAGGAATAGCGAGAGTCACAATTTTACATACGATTAAAACTATATATACATTCATTATATCACTTATATACAACATCCATTATTATTACAAGCACACCGAACCAGTAATTATTAACTTCCAAAATACAAAAAGGATCAGCATTGTCCAACAGTGGGGCCCTCTCAATTTATTGTCTCGCTCCCAGAACTAGTCCCTACGTCCTCTCGGAGACGTCCACACTGACTCACTGTCCTCGGCATCACCACATGAATCCTCCTCAGTTGTCTATTCACCCGACGGCTCCGAGTCTGCCTCAATATGATCATGGCTCAAGCGGGGGCTCTGAAATGTCGGTTTTATCATAACCGTGAGAAATCTCAGCAAGTACAAACCACTAATCCTAAACTAGGCTAATGTGCACCTCCAGAAGGGTAAATAAAACACACAAATAATGAACCAGCACATCAACATAATTTCACCCGGGCTCACAGCCCAATACATTGTCTCATAGCCCTGCAGGTTAGGCATTTGACATTAACGCAAATCACGTGCAGTTATACCGACCCGAAGGCCCACAGTTGGAGATAACGACCCGTAGGCCCGACCCGAAGGCCAACAGTTTGATAAATCGACCCGTAGGCCCGACCCGAAGGTCACAAGTGATTATAACGACCCGTAGGCCCGACCCGAAGGCCACAGTTAATAAATCGACCCGTAGGCCCGACCCGAAGGCCAACAGTTTGATAAATCGACCCGTAGGCCCGACCCGAAGGTCACAAGTGATTATAACGACCCGTAGGCCCGACCCGAAGGCCACAGTTAATAAATCGACCCGTAGGCCCGACCCGAAGGTCACAAGTGATTACAACGACCCGTAGGCCCGACCCGAAGGTCACAAGTGATTATAACGACCCGTAGGCCCGACTCGTAGGCCACAGTTAATAAATCGACCCGTAGGCCAACATTTGAATATAACTCAGACATGGATATCGTCACACTCAATTTCCACCAATCACCACTTGCTGTGCAAAACATATGCTCGGGAATTCAAGCCAAATACTGATGTCAAATTTACCAAGCATAACTATGTTCAAGTTAGACATGTGCCACTCATTCCCGGCATTCCCAAACATTTCCATTCTAATCCAACCCATTTCAAGTTCATTCCGCGCATTCATTACACAAGTCAATTTAATGCGCCTAAGGCCCGCCTTGGGCAAATCGATCTCGATAATTGTTCTCACTATCTCGGGGTCATTCAATAGGGTTTATTTAGATCCCAACCAAACCCCAATAATACCCAAGACTCAAATCGATATCCAATGAACCAATCAAGTCTCAAATTAAGTCCAAAATGTGCAATTCGGTTCTGGTGAACAGTACCAGAACCGAATGTCCAACATGCACTATATCACACTTAAACAATTCCGTTAAACCTTAATCACATACCATAATAATTCAACCACCAATTATACATAATTAAGCCTCAAATAAGCTTAATTAATCCCTACAATGCCCCAATCAAGGTCACTTACCAAGGAATCCAACTAGTGCCACACTTAGACAAATTTACACAAATTCGGTGCCCCATGAACAGTACCAGGGCAGGGTACATTTTGTCCACTAAACCATCATTAAACACCCTCATTAGGCTCTAGTCTCAAACCCTAATCACCCAAACACTAAATATACTTAATTAAGTCTCCAATAAGCCTAATTAGCCCCTAAAATGTCCATTTCTAAGTCATTAACAAATAAACCCAATTAGTGAAACTCGTAGACAAAAATGCACAAATTCGGTACTCAATGAACAGTACCAGGGCAGGGGGCTGTTTAGGCTTTAATCCACCATTAAACTACCTCATTAGGTCCTAATGACCTATACAAAACATCCCACACACAACTAAACATCATT